ATTAGGGGTGTGTGGCCTAACATGCAAAAGAGTTCCTGCTACAAAAAAGCCCTGGGTTTTGACAACAAACAAGGTAAACAGAATAACAAGCAAAAGGTGGGTGTGGCTGGATAACCACACTTCTGGTAACATGGGGGTGCGGCCTAATGTGGTAATGAGATGTGCTGGCAGGGGTGTGGCCTAATATGCTAATGAGTTCCGGCTGTTGGGTGTGACCTATTATGCTAATGAGTTCCTGTTGGGCTTTTTTCTACAAAAAGAGCCCTGGGTGACGCCATTCTTAACAGTGACTTTGTTACTCCATCCATAGCTCTGCAATAAAGTATAACCTTTCTGATAAGCGTGTACTCCGCTGTTGGCTGTGGAATCTGACAGGTACACTTATATAATATAAAGAAGGGATGCTCTTATTTCTGAAACCTTGTGTATCTTTCTAGGCCTGGTCGTATAAATAGGTTAGAAGGGGAGAGTGGTTTAAGATTTTACTGATAGACAACGCTGTGTGGAACTGGTTTGCCCTGATCCATGACTGCTCACAGTAGTTCTGGATTTATTCGGCACCTAATCAAGTCTAGTCTGTAGCAATTTATCGGTGCCCACTGAAGAAGGCTTTCGAGGCCAAAGCACGTGTGGGTCTGTTCATTACAGGGTTTATTCTTTATTTATTATCTATATCCCACCTTTCTTCCCAATGGGGACCCAAGGCGGCTTACATCATTCCACACTCCTCCATTTTATCCTCACAACAGCCCTGTGAGGTAGGTTAGGCTGGGAGGTACGCGGCTGGCTCAAGGTCACCCAGCCAGCTTCCATTACACGAGTGGGGATTCGAACCTGGGTTTCCCGTATCCTAGTCCGACACTTTAACCACTACATCACACTGGCTCACACTGAAAGTGAGTTGTCAGATATCCTTATGTTTGGTGTAGTGGTTAAGAGTGGGGACTCTTACCTGGGAGAACCAGGTTTGATTCCCCACTCCTCCACATGCAGCTGCTGGTGGGACCTTGGGTCAGTCATACATTCTTTCAGAACTGTTCTCTCAGGAGCAGTTCTCAGAAGAGCTCTCTCAGCCCCACCTACCTCACAGGGTGTCTGTTGTGGGGAGGGGAAGGGAAAGGAGATTGTAAGCCCCTCTGAGACGCCTTCAGTTAGTGAAGGGCGGGGTATAAATCCAATCTCTTTTTCTTGTTGTTGCTTGTTTGTTTTTAGAACAAAATTTGGGTCCAGTGGCACCTTTAATTTTTTTTCTTTTTTCCCCCCCCTTTTGTTTAAGTTTAAATTAAAATCACAATACTGAAGCCACAATTAACCGTCTGTTACAGAACCAAAGGAGCTGCGGTGGCTCAATTGGTCAAGATGCTGAACTGCAGGCTGTGGAAGGTCGGTAGTTCAGCAGTTCGAGACCTGAGTGTGCCGCATGATGGAGTGAGCTCCCATCTCTAGTTCCAGCTCCTGCCAACCTAGCAGTTCGAAAGCAAGAAATTGCAAGTAGATAAATAGGTACCACTTCGGTGGGAAGGTAACAGCATTCCGTGGAAGGGAACAGCGTTCCGTGCGCCTTGGTGTTTAGTCATGGCCACGGAAACGTCTTCGGACAGCGCTGGCTCTTCGGCTTTGAAACGGAGATGAGCACCGCAACCCTAGAGTCAGACTCGACTGGCTTTTGAGCAAGGGAACCTTTAACTTTTACAGAACCAAAAATTACAATGACTAACCATCTAAACTGCGTTGCATCGGGAGAATTACATCCTTAACACATAGAAATTCTAAGACTGGTCTCCAGATAAAGGGGCTACCGTCCATAAATCCCCCCAAAAATGGATTATGCATAATCCTACCCACCAATAATTGTTCCCAGATTCTCTGGTACCATTTTTTAAAGCAAGGATCCCCTGAGGGATTTCCAATTCCTGTCAATGACCAAGCGGCAAGAAGCAACTAATGTAGAGGCAAGAAATTTGGTATTTTTATCAAGCAAAGAGTCAGCCCAAAAATCCAATAACAAAAATTCCAGAGAATAAGACAATGGAAGACCCACAATGTTGGATATGTCTTTATGAACCACCTTCCAAAAGTCCTGAACCAGATGGCAGATATCCTTATGTTTGTCATGATCGTGTATAATAATTTTTCAACACAAGGGGAAGACTCTGTATTGAGGTGCTATGCAGATATAGCTGTCTTTTTTGGTCCTTTGATTTGATTGTTCGCTATTCCTTTAAAATGTATGCATTAATTTCTTTTTTTATCTTCAGTATTAGTATGTTGTTCATTTTTGGTTTCATTTTTCGCACCTTCTCGGTCACCTAATTGATGTCCACTTTGCCAGGTCATCTCAAGGGCTGTGAGCTTCGTTGATGTCTCCTGATAGATCAGCGGCTGATGGCGAAACAGACACCGCAGCCCAGCAGCTGATAAATGCCACTCTCAGACCTGTCACAGCTCTTACCTCTCCTGCCAATTCACTTTTGCATTGTTTTGCCCTGAGCAGTTTAGGTGGCAGCCGTTACGATGACAGTGCTTAGGGTATCCTGTTGAATCAACTCTCCCAAGAAGCAGGCCTGGGAAAAGATTACCTAACCGATGTGTGAGATTTAGACAGGTGCCGTTGCTAGGCAGAATAAACTCTGGTCTAAACGGACCGGCTCTGACCAAGGCAGCTTCCTATATATCGTGAGAGATCCTTTCTAGGCCCATGGGGGAAACAGAAAAATTATGAGGACTCACAGGTTTGGTTAAGTTCTTGGGATGCTGATGTGTTGTGAGGCGGAGGACGAAAAGAGAACTTAGAGAAGGGATTTAAACATAGAGCTTTCGAAGCACTGACAGTTCTGTGGGTGGGCACAGGGCCAAATTAGTGGTTGCATACTCTTCCTGTCAACATCAAAAACGAGAAAGGTGTCAGGACACACCGCTAAACAACGAAGTACACGCTTCCAGTAAGGTTTTACTTTTATTGAAAAGCCATAGATGCAATAACATGAACACTGTTAGGAATGGCGGAATACCTGTGCGCATAATAGGATATAGGGCATTCGTATGTGCCCCCCCCAGCAATAACCAATTGGATGTGCTCCCATGCACGGGATACTGTTGAACTCTCTAACGGTTGCGAAGCTGGGAACGGAGAAGCTCCCACGGACGATAGACACCACATTCTCCACCAGTACAACATCAAAGATAAGCGTTACAGCTCTGAAGCAATTAAGCGCATGGGAAGGAATGCAAAGCAATTAGAAAACATCTCCACACTCATGGCAGCGTAGCTGACAAAAGGTAAAAACAGATCTGAGCAGGTGCCGTGAGTGGCCGCCTTTGGAAACTTCCAGCTTGGCCTCTGGTATAGCTGAGCATCTAGTAGCTGCGCCTTTGCCTCTTTCATTTTGTTGGTAGTATGAATTATACACTTGCTTTTTAGTTGTAAGTTGAGTACTTTGAGTATGCTACGCTGGAAAGAAAACTGTCAATGAAGACAAAAGAACATTTGTTCTTCTTTTGACCCGTTTAATGTGTTGGTACAGAACCGGTTAATTGCATTTTACTTGAACTCATCCAGAAGTTGTTTTCTTCTGCTGTTACAGACTATGATTCAGCAAGTGATGAAGTCTCTGGTCAAATTGATCCGTGGGGCTTTACTTCCATTCAGCCTTGGAGAAAATGAACTGAGAGAGTACGGGGGCTGGGAGACGAAATCTGAACTGTCTGGACAGTGGTTGCCTCATGTCATACAGACAGTTAGGTAAGCAGTGTAAGATCTGCGTTCCCGACAAGTTTCAGTAGACTGTGTTCTTTGATCTCGTGTTGGGTGGAACCAGCAGTTCCAGATGTTATTTGGGAGCTAGTCTGGTGAACCCTTGGTCTGCCTTCAGGCACAGAATCAAGGGAAAGAAGTGGTTAAGATGGGGGAGAGTCAAAGCCGGGAAGACCACACAGAACTCATGAGCTACGGCAAGCCACATATCTGCCCAATACCTGTGGGTGGAGAAGATGGCTTGCGAGATAAATGTGTATAGAGATTATAGGAAGTGAGAACCCGTCAAAAGGCAGAGTCCATCAGCAGCTGTCAGCTAGAGGAAGGTGACCCGGACTAGCCCGAGCTTCTCAGGGTTTGGAAGCTAAGCAGGGCTGGCCTTGGTTGGTATTTGGATGGGAGACTACCAAGGAAGATCAGGGTTACTCCACAGAGGCAGGCAATGGCTGCGACTTGATACAGCACTTAATACAGTTGCAGTTGCAGGGAAGATGCCACTAAGGCCTTTGTGACCCCCAGCCCTACCATCCAATGCAGTCTCTCTCAGATTCAGTGATGCAGGTAGGTTAGGTAGTCACTAGCTCTCCAGGTGGGCTATTTTTGGTCAGGAACGCACAGGAACGGAGTTCCGGCTGGCTCCCAAGTTGGCCATGCCCAGCAGGAACTCATTAGCATAATAGGCCACACCCAACAGCAGGAACTCATTAGGATTGGCTACATTAGGGGTGTGTGGCCTAACATGCAAAGGAGTTCCTGCTACAAAAAAAGGCCCTGGGTTTTGACAACAAACAAGGTAAACAGAATAACAAGCAAAAGGTGGGTGTGGCTGGATAACCACATTTCTGGTAACATGGGGGTGCATCCTAATGTGCTAATGAACTGTGCTATCAGGGGCGTGGCCTAATATGCTAATGAGTTCCTGCTGGGCTTTTTCTACAAAAAGAGCCCTGCTTGTCCCTATTTATTTTTATGCGCTCCATTAACCTTTTACACAGCAGGTCCCCCCCTCTCCCAGAAGGACTACCAGACAGGGCAGCCCAGTTCAATTTTCAACCACCCCTCACCCAGATATTTCCCTGCGCTGCTGGCTTAGTGAAATAAACACTGTTTTCCTTTCATGTTGCCACCATTCATATAAAAATATAGGCCATGGCCTAACTTGTGTGTGTGTGTGTGTGTGTGTGTGTGTGGTTTAAGGAGCTGAGACAATTCACACTCAGTCAGCAGGGATGAACAAAAAGGAGTCAACTATTTTTCACAACTTTAAACACCATTGCAGTGCTATAGGCACATAGATCGAGACCGATTCCCCACAAGCAGCTGTGCCACCCTCTCTCTTCCATTTGCCCCGATTGCATTGGTCAATTTCACACTATTCACTGCGTGGCCGGATTTTGACCCGCATCTCCCCCCCGATTTCCCCCACGTCTTCTCGATCTCAAAAAACAAGGATCGAGAAGATGCGGGGGAAATTGGGGAGGGGGGATGTGGGTCAAAATGCGGCCGCCAAGCGAATAGTGTGAAATTGACCAATGCAACAGGGGCG